ATAATAATAATAATAATAATAATGTGAACACAACACAAAAACTTTGCTAAAAATAACCTAGAGTTTTGCACTGCCAGAATTTTTGTAATTTGTATTACACAAAAGAAGTTATTTATAAAATTTGTAGACAACTATATGATCTACCTCCATGCAAAATTCCACATATCTAGCTGCAATGATTCATGAGTTGATACTATCAAACAAGAAGCTAAATATAAAATTTTCATAGCAACCATATTGTTGAGTTACATTCTACAAAATAGAAATTATCTCAACAGAAGTTTCATGTTCTCTGAGAGAAATATTAGTAATCTGGTACTCATGTAGGAAGCTGAGCCATTTTAATTGTAGCTGTGAAGCTAAAACTCTCATCACTCTTGCCAGGAATCAAATTTTAACCATCAAGTATACAGTCAACTACTTAACTGACTGAACAATTATAAAGAATACTGTCTTCTGGGATGTGACAAAGTGTAATCTGTTAGACATTTATTAACATTTCATAATAATTTGCGTCTTCCTACTTCAGGATAAAAGAATAAACCACTTTTCCCCCAAATTTCTAACCTTGGAAATGACCCTTTCAAGGGCCTCAGAATATTTCCCTGCTCTCCTTCACCTATTGCCACTACCAGGGCTTAAGTCCCACAGTTCATTCTTCCTGTATCCATACCACTCTTTTATAAGCTCAGCTGATTCTTTTACCATGAAGATTGAGGCAGCATTTTCCTCTGAAACATCAATAAACATTTACCAGAATACAGCCCAAGAGACAATATTTTTCATAGTCACTGCTATGAGAACCTCAAATCTGAAAATGTTTCTGATTAAATTATTCAGTTGACCATAACATATTTGAAACCAATTCTTATAAATGCTTTCCAGTAAGATGCAAAAATATCTTACAAATATTCCACACTTCACTCTCTGCAGCTCTACAAACCTTATTTCCACTCCCATCAGCTTCCAGAAATTGTACTGATGTAGGGTCAACACCACATGTTTCATAGAAACGCTCCAGTAGGTTGATGAAAGGATCTCGCATTGGTGTAATGAGGGGAGTCATTCTGTCCCCACAGATCTCCACTGCAGAGTGCACCACTGTTGCATATATTCTCTTAGCAAACTTTGCCTTCTGGAGCAGCATTACAGCCACACCATCACTCCGGGCATACCCGTCAGCTATAGTACAAGATAAGATATACTTAGAGACATTTCTTGCTAGACAGCACCCTTATGGTGCAAAGCAGAGGTATTTCTTTTACAGAGTAACTACATATATTACCCAAATATTTCTGTAGTATTAAGATTTCATAAGAAAATTCTGCCTCAAAACTCTGTTTTACACAGGTTGAATCATACTAATATCATCATAATCATTTTACATAATCAGTTTTAATCATCATATCTAATGGTTTCAACCATTTAATATATTTCATTTAAGTATCCTAATACTATGAGAAAAGTGTAGAGTCTCTCACACAATTTTCATACAAACATTTCCCTTCATTTCAAATTACTTTCAATTTTGCATCAATCCACACCTGATCAGGAACTGAACATGAGGTACTGTAAAGAAAAAACTCATGTCTTGCTAGACCACCAGTTCTCCCGAGTACAAATTACTTCAGTTCTGAATAATCAAGAGAAGAAAGCATGACCGAAGTTCAGCATGAATCATAAGTTAGTGACCCCTTTTTCATATAAATTACAGCCTTCATTAGTTTAATACAGGCTGTGTATCAGTAAATAAGGGATTAAAACAAATCACAACTACAGTAGAACCTGTAGAATAAGTAGAGATTCATTTATGAAATTGCTGTCAATCATAGTCCAACATTTACAGCCGAAATCGCCATGCTGATATACACAAACATTCTAACCTGCTGCATCAAATGATTTAGTCTTCCCATCTGGAGAGAGAAGTCCAAGTTCTTTATAATGGTATGATCCTGCAGGCAATAACACAAGGCTGATTGACCCTATAAGTGCTGCATCACAACGGCCACTTCTGATTGTATTATAAGCTACTGTGAGGGCTTCAAGCCCACCAGTCTCCATTGATGTTAAGGAATAGCTGGAAGCTAGAAAAAATTAAGGAAGCTCAAGTTTATGCCATCACACTTTAACATGTACCATATATGGCAAATACATAGTGGCAAACAACAACACTTAGAGGACAACAAAAATTAAACAGCAATTATGATTTGTTTTATTTATAACAGTAGGATGTACATGTAGAAACTGAGAAATTACACAGTATCATTATTTAGGAGAGCAGAATACGAACTGGTCATCTGCTGATCAGAAGTATGAATTTTAATAATTATGAAGACATAAATTATACATATAAATTACACAACCTACTGATACCACATTAAGCATAGCTTGGAACAGTTAGGTTTGCATATTATTTCCCCCAGCTGCCAGATATAATCTAAAGGTCCAGTCATTTATAATGTTTGCAGTTATTAATGCATAACAAAGTTTGCACATATATTGTGGTCATCAGGGGGACATGCAGTAGCTTAGTTTGTGAGGCACTATGCTACAAGCTGGAAGGCCACGGGTTTGAGTCCCAATGAGGTGGATTTTTCAATTCACCTCATCCTTCCAGCCGCACTATGGCCCTGGCATCGACTCAGCCTCTAACTGAAATCAGTACCAGGAATCTTCCTGGAAGGTAAAGGGCGGCTATTGCATAAAGCTGACAACCTTACAGCCATCTGTGAGCTGACTGTCTAGACAAAATGTGGGAGCCTCAACGTCTCACACCCCTATGGGACTTCATGTCCCATTACAGGGATAGCTTTATTTTACCTTGTGGTCTTCAGGGTTATGCAACTATGTTGTAGCCTAATAGGTGGGTACCAAAATTTCGGTAGAATGTAATGTCTCTATCTTCAGAGACTCATTTCAGTTTCATCCATTAAGCTGCTACAACATGGTGTCATAATGCACACGACCACAATGTGCCTCTTCACCACCACAGAAACCTCAAATCTTACAAAAGTTTCATACAATTCAGAGACATATTCACCATTTATAATCATTATTAATTTGAAAATATAGCAACAGTGCTGTGACATGATGGCTGAAAAGCCAGAAGGGTGAAATGTGTAGACACGGCTGTTGTCAATGGAGCAATAGAAAAACTGTTGGAAGGGGTGTTTTCTATGTGGTCCATGCCAAGGTTATATAAGGAGAACCAATGGACATAGCATGCTGCACAAACACTCATTGACAGGAAACCTCTGTATACTTTGTATAAATATTACTTAGTACAACACAGTGACAAAGGATTTATAGAATCCATAGTGACCTGGTTGCAGTGACAGCATGGATATGCTTTTGCTGAAACTACAGTGCAGCAACTGTAACACCTACACAGAAAGATTGACCCCCTCCTTTGTCAAAGAGAAGATTCCATTTCAAAACATGCAGATGTCTAGGAGAGAATAATACTCTTTGTCATGGATCTTAAGGAGACTGAAGACAGGAACGACCATACTGGCAAAGGCCAGCAGCAATTTAACTGACTGACCACAATAGACAAGGGATTTATGAGAGTTTTGAAGTGGTAGCCAGCTGAAAACAAAGTGAGCACAGAGAGGAGTATTTATTATTTGGGGGCGTTGCCAAGCAATGACTAGTTAAAAAATAGAAGACTTTATGTTTGCTGTAGTTATAGTGATTTTTAGAGTATGTAAACCAGGGACATCATTATAATGATTTTTAATTTTCAGTTACAACTGTTCACTAAATCCAATTACCAATCCAAACCCCATGCCTTCTTACTAATATATGGCTGTATTTTATCTGTTACTGCTTTCATACTAAAAATTAACTATAGATTTTATGCATTAACATCATAATTATGTTACATTTTACAGGAAAAAAAGGTTTAAAACATATTACATACTTATCAATGGCCTATTGATCCAGAATATTTCAGGTACCTTTCTAGCAAAAGGAGGTAGAATGAGAAAACCATTAAAAGTCCAGCTGAAGATCAAACTAGGCACTACAGAGTGCTATACTCTCTGCTGAGCTCTCCTGTATTATTATTGTATCTCACCATTTATATTTAACCAGAACGATATCCTATTGGCCAACATAGCACGACTGTGTCCCAGAAACTCTAAACCACTCTGCAAGTCACCGTACATCCATGTGTTCTCTGACTCACTGATGCTGGCACTTGTCACTACTGTTGTGTTGGTCTTCTGCAGGTCACTGGGGTTTAGACCTGCACCATACAGAACAAAATTATTAAGCTATTTTATCTTATAACACATTCGTTTTGGATTGCACATTAAGTTCTTATGGTGAATGAATGCAATAAAATCTTCACATATCTTCATGTCACAGAACAGAATATTTTGAAGACTGTCTCTCTCTTACAGGGTAATCAGTCCTTGAAATATAACACCACCAACAAGTTCACTACCAAGAAAACTTAATATCCTCATGTACATTTCAATACATACATTGCATTTTATAAATGCTGTCCATCTGCCCATTAATCAAGAACTACTGCCTTTTCGTGGAGAAGAGGTTTGTCTGTTCCAGTGACCCAGAAAGCTATGCTGGCAGCAGCATAAGCATAAGGCTACCCATGCCAGACAAATCAGAGGGTATGGGACAGACGAAGTGTAGTCCCTGGACCTCCATGTTGGGGATTAGGCGTGGGGCTATCAACCTTACCTCAGAAAAATTTACTGTTATGAAACCTCAAGAGCCTATGGAGGAGGCCAAAACTGACACAGGGTTCCAGCATCAATAAAGAAGAAGTACACCTGTGAGAAGACCTGTAGTATATGCTGCTTAAATAAAATAGTAGGAATTCAAATATTTCTCTCCTGGATAATTACACTCACTCATGTCACTCGTGGAGCTGACCCCTTCTTGAGAAGCCGCCAATTGTGCAGCTATTTAAGAACTTCCCAGCATTTTATGGAACCCAAAGGTTCATTACCATGTTCATAAGAGCCCTCCACTGGTCCCTATCTTGAGCCAGATCAATCCTATCTATACCATCCCATTCTAACTCTCTAAGATCCATTTTAATATTGTCAACCCACCTATGTCTTGGTCTTCCCAGTGGTCTCTTTCCTTCTGGCTTTCCCACGAATATCCTACATGCATTCCTCTTCTCCCCTATTCGTGCTACATGCCCTACCCATCTCATCCTCCTTGACTTGATCATTCTAATTGTACTTGGAGAAGAGTACAAGTTATGAAGCTCCTCACTGTGAAGTTTCCTGGATAATTACATTAGATACAAAATGATGTGGGAATTATGATGAATCAGTATTATGTACAGACTCCATAACCAAAGAGATCAGTGATTATAATCATGTAGGTACCCTTCCCCAAGTCTATTGGTTGAGTAACCCACAACTATGCCATACTCACCTATATACCATTCTGGAATTGTCCACTAGTGAGTCAACCTAGAATAATCATATCTTTTCTGAACCTTCATTTTTCTTTCATGTAATTAAAAACATGTTTTGATCAAAATAAGAGAATATACATTTCTACACAAAACCTTCTTGCCATTCTAAAACAGTAAGGCAATTAACAAGGTAAAAGATTGGAAGATAAATTTGTCCTTGTGTTTAATTAAGCACCAGACCATGGGGAAGTATGGGGGGGGGTTGAAGGTGTACTTCTTGCATAATTAACCTCAGCAGTAGATGGAGATATGTGGTCAGTTCCACAGTCTGGTCACATTGCTCCTGGGGAAAGTTCTTCTGGTATTCACTGGGTAGGAGGCTAGTTGGGCCCAAGAGCCATTCTGTGCACTGTGGAGAAGAGAAAAATCTCTGCCCCTATCAGGAATTAAACCCAATTTCCTGGCCATCCTGACTGAAGCTTAATCATTATGATTGAACCAATCAGGCTCACAAGGCAATGAATGCATCTTTATGTATGGGTTGTTTTTGCAAAATTTATATAAAATTATTTCTGCAACAAATGTGAACAAAGGCATGCTAAGCATTCAGACTACATTAGTATGGTGGCAATGAATGAACACAAATACTGTATTTATTTTTTGTTTGGCTCTCAATTTATAAAAGTGCCCCCAGATGGTTGTATTCAGACACTAAATAAGCACCACATTTTGTAATGTATCTATGTTTTGTACCATGTAACTATCAGAATTATTTTTTTAAAGAAAGCTTCATTCCAAATGAGAAGCACCATGCATAAGTTCCATATTTACATGTGTTTGCAGTGGATGATGTCACAGTTCATGTTACCAACTTACCAGCATCAACAATGGCTTCATATGATCTTTCCAAAATGAGGCGCGTCATGACATCAAGAGCGGTACTCTGTCTGCGGTGGATACCAAAGAAACCTGCATCAAACTTTTCCTTCTTGTTGATCTGCCCCACACGCAGTGGTACATGAAGCTTCCCTGTATTCATTAATTATGTGTTACATAGAAAATGCATGACATGTGTACTACCTGACTTAAATTGGGCAAGCTTACTCAGTTTTTTATTACTGCGAACTTCACCCTGTAAAACTGCAACAAACATTACAACCTAAATTCATAAACTGTTGTGTAATCCAGTTAGATTCTGCCAGGCGTTCCACATATTTCATTAAACTTATAGCTTGAAAGCAATTTTATATTCAGATCATAAATTATATGTGTCCATAATTAATCACCGATCATCTAAATGTACCAGAAAGGTACCTGAAATACATCACTCCTACCTACAGATGGTAGATTAAAGAACCTTAGTTAACAAAACTGCTTCTTGTGTAACAAAGACTGACACATCAGCATGTTCAAAATATCTTCAAGCACATTTTTTGTCTTGAAGTTTGCAATGTGTCTCATAAAAATAATGTGCACCATCCAGAATTGTTTAGTTTAACATTGTTATACACTGTGTAAAGTTTGCACATTTGATTTCTCCATACCTAACTTCCTTCTTTATATGTTCTGAGTGCATTCAACATTTTTCATGACTGAGAAAATTCTTCTGGCAAAAGAAAAATTGAGAAATATCCATCTGGCACTTTCACTTAAAATCCTTACCTGCACCTCATTTGTACTGCCCACTACATAACCTATCTTCCCACATATGACTTGAGGTTCTCCAATTGATAGTTATACAGATTTCCATCTCCTGGGAGGTGCTGCCCTGTAGTGTAGTAGATATATACCAACACTTCAGAGCAATCTGCTGCCTCCATCTGTAATATCCTCCTAAACACTGGCAAATATTTCCCAGTAACCACTTCCCTCCCCATTTTGAGTTTTAGCAGTATATTACAGAAGTATTAATACAGCTTTCTCTTCCATGTTATCTCAGCTATGTGTGTCTTGGCTTGAAGTACTTCACATGATATGGCTAGAAATTTTAATTGAAATTCAAAACTCTCAAACCTCTGTTACATGTTAGACAAAAGAATTACCTAATATAAAATACAATTCTAGCTGCTCATCAGATAACACAGTCAGAGATGTACCTGAATGGGCTACTCTGGAGAGATTGCAGATGCCAAGAAGCTGCACCAGGAAGGGAGAACAGATGTAATAAGATGTTGCAGTGTATAGTCTACAGTGAAACATTATACCAGTGCTATCACCAAATTCACCAATATTATCTCAAAGGCCGCACCATAGCTTAAGCGGTTAGTTGCTGGCTTCCCACCGCTGCGGTTGAGTCAAGTGGGATTTGTGATGGACAAAGTGGCACTGGGACAGGTTCCCCCCCCCTCGAATACTTGTTTCCCTTGCCAATCCTCATTCCATCAAATTCTCCATAAGCATTATCACCAGTACAGGTACAATGGAACATATGGAAGCCGACGTGCCAAGGGGACCTAATATGGATTCCACCTCACACTATATGAAATCTTAACTATTGTAATCTACTGCAATCTACTGTAGACAATTTTAAGTATTGTAACTTTACTCTCTTATTGTAATCAGCCAATGTACAGTAATCGACTTGTCCTATATCATGTAACAATGATCTATAGAGACAAAATAAATAAATAAATAAATAAACATAGTACTTTTGGGGAACTCATCAACCATTTGCTTTCCAGTTCCATCAATTAACAATTTAAAATGTAGAGAGAACATGTCAGAAACTAATGTTGTAATTGTCTTTCCAGCATGTGACATAGGAGAGGAGCAAGAAATTTCTTAAACCTAGCCAGCCATCTGTAAGACATTCCATATCCTATAGATTATCATGATTGAGGTTTCTCATAACTTTTCTTAGTCCTCCTGGATGAGTGCCAGGAAAGTACCTTCAAATAGGCCACAAATATCCCTTCTGAAACCCTTACTTACTCATTATTCATAATGATGTTTCCATCTCCATATTGACACAGCATCATTAAACAAGCTAAGAATCAATCAACCAAAGTAAATCTAATTCAGGACTAGTTACAGTTACTGTCATGTTTATGGCATTCTGGAAAACCCACCATTTGTCCATTTGTGATCTTCCATTGGCTGCACCAAATCTGCCATGCTGAACAGGTTCTCTCTGAGCTCATCAATATTGTCAGACATGGGAAATCGGCCACTGAAGCCAGATATGACAACACTGTCATCTGTTGCTATACTTTCCACATCTATAGCCACCATGTTGGTATTGTGTCAAGCAGTGAACATCTAAGAGCACATAATAAAACCAATGTAGTGTGATTACTTGTTGTTCCTTCAACAGTACATTACACAGTACCAAGCATGGGGTACAAATACTGATAACTCTACTGTCTACTGTTGTGATGTTCACTTATGTTCACTGCCAGTCATGACTAAAAATAACTACCTACCTGACTAAAAATCTAATTAAATAATTAATAATTGTACTGAAGATTCAACATTGTGAACACCAAAGCCACTTTTACCCCAATCCTGGGCCAGTTCAATTCTTTTCTTGCATTCCATTATAATACTCATGCTTCCTCACTAAAATTCAGTTTACATCTTGTTTCCTCCATCGAGACTACACGTCCAAACCATTTAAGGCACTTTCCTCAACAGATTTCTCCACATAAATCACATGGGTTTTAATAGTGTTAAACCCTCAGGACGAAATTCATATTTTGTTGCCCTCGGCAGTATTTGGAGGTGAGTGGGCAGCTTCCTGCCCCGGATACTTTATCCCTGGGGGAAGAGCCCCCGGGACCCATTGGATAAGAAGCTGTGTGAGCCCCAAGGCCAGTCTGGACAACATGGAGAAGAGAAAATTCTTTACCCCACTGCGACTTGAACTCCAGTCCCTTGGTTGTCCAGCCTGTAGCCAGTCACTACACTGACTACACTATGCCGGTTCCTATATGATAGCCAGTAGCTTACTAAAGTAATTTATTTCTTCTAATTAGGACACTGTCAGAATTAGCAATCAGATCACCATTCACAATCATTACTAAATTTGTCCTGAATTGCCATTACTTAAACTTAGTTGTGTAGTCTTTTTAAACTGTTTATGTTTATCCCATTTTCTTTGTTTCCAGGAGTTCCTCCTTTCATTCCCTGTGATTAATTATGTACCATAGCATGAACTGTTACTTACTGCAGAGTGGCCATGGAACTACATGCATTCTTATCTCTGTACTAAATGGAAATATATGATGAACTCAACACACAGGCTGTTTATTCCTTACAGATAATTTGCAGCATGTACAGAGCCATTACTAGGTTATGGCACAGTAAACAACTTATTGCCATAAAAATGATTGCACATGCAACAGAGAACATGTCACGTCCACAGTGACAGCACCTAACAATAGAAGAATTGTGGGAAGTTGTGTTCTCTGTGCTGTCCATGCAACAGCTATATGACACAATAATAGAAGAACTGTTGGAAGAGATGTCTTCTGTGTGGTCCACGCCAAGGTGTTATAAGCAGGACAGATCTAGGGTTCAGTTAGTTGTGGGACAGTCACCAGCCAGTAAGGATGTGAAAATGGATGGAAAGGAAGCTACAGCATTGGAAGTCCTTACTAGGCAACAACAGATGAAGATCCACCAGACTGAAAAGACTTAGTGCATGACGCAGTAAATTGTAGAGTACATGAATTAGCAACAGCACTAGTTACTTGTAGTTACAATCTGGAAGTGTTAAATAAATCCAATTAGCAATCTATAGTCACATTACATATGAGTGACAATATTTCAGAATGTTACAGGGGCACGCGATAGTGTAGTTGGTTGAGGCACTATGCTACAAGCCGGAAGGTAGCGGGTTCAAGTCTCAATTAGGTAATTGGATTTTTTCAATTGACCTAATCCTGCCAGCCACATTATGTCCCTGGGGTCAACTCAGCCTCTGACAGAAATGAGTACCAGGAATTAATTAAATAATTTTCCTGGTGAGTAAAGCGCAGCTGGCGCGTAAGGCTGACAACCTTACTGCCATCTTTGAGCCGATTGTCTGATAATGTGGGACCCTCAACATCTCACAACCCTATGGGCCTTCAAGGCCTGTTACAGGGATAGCTTTACTTTACTCTTTTTGCTTACTTCTGTCTTATATGCCTTCATGGCATAGTGCTTAATTAGTTGAGCACAGGGATAATTTTACCTTTTACATCTGCCTTATTTATTTTGTAAGGAATCTGTAATCTATGCACTCCAGTTTATTGGCTTTGCTTTACCACTACACCACTTTCACTAAACCACGGTTTACTCTGTAAAATCCTATGAAATATTTTCTCCATGTGAAACATATCACATAATACTTTATGGTGATTTCATTATTTTCCATTCTTCTTCTAAATTTTCTAAAACTGCTAACATAGGCAAGATTTTGACCTGGTACTACTCTTTAACTTACATGTTTTTTAGTTTTTCTGTTAAATTACTCTACAAGTGAGAACATTCAACCTTCATTTTTAACTATGAACAAACATGTGGAAGTTGCTCTGAACCTGTGCAGAAAAACCCAAGATAAATATTCTAATTGAATATCTTTACCACAAATTTGTATTTATTAAGTGATCACTAACACAGTCAGCCTCAACAAGACTGAATATGGATAGAGCAGTGCCTCCTATTGTTCCTCATAGTAGAAAAATTATGATTTTCATGTACAAAATATTATTTTAAGCTATTTTTATTTTGTGACTGATTCCATAATCAAGATAATAAACCATGAAATATTAACATCACACATGAATAAAAAGCATATGTAGAACTAATTAGGTGAGTAGACTACCATTACTACTGACACTACCATTTGGAAATGAGGGCAGAATAGCCTGGAGGACAGAACCTTTCATATTACAAAATGGCTTTTAAGACAGAATACAAACCTGACATACACACCTGCCAGCACTCACTGCCAGTCCTTGTGCAGGAATTTGGGAAAACTGTGGAGATACTCATTAGCAATCAAAGATCCTTAATGTGTGTATCTGTCAATGACACTTTTATAACATTCACAAAATTTGTATGACACTGCGCATTCTTACTAATGATATGCACCGTGGCAACAATAGCTTCTCTGCAATTTCAATAACAAAAGACAATTAGCATATGAACTTCAGAGCAAAGACCTCAAGTCAGTAGAACTTGGCCTTCAACCTGAACAGGTGACATTACTGATCAGATAAAATAAGAAAAATTCATTGATCAGAAAATACAGGCAGTATATTTGGACCTGACCTGTAGTTGCATGCTGTAAGTATTTAAGTAGGTAGCAGTGAGAGACCAGCTGCAGCTGTATTGTGGGGAGGGGGGAGAGTGGAATGTTGTAACTAACACCTTGTTATAAGCCATTCATACTCTACAATTTTACCAGTCAGTGAACTCAAAGTTCATTGTGCTGTTGACATTGGCAAGGTGTAAGAAAACAGGCAGTATCTAGGGGTTACTCACATGGTAATCACAATAGCTACACCAAGTAAAAATTCAAATTTTTATTAAAAAGCTGTCTCACTGAACATGCTTCTTATAGTATTGACGAATATTATAAATCAACTTCTCAATGAACACTTTGTCTTGATTGTCTCTCCTACGGATAATATAATTACACTGCTTATGTATCTACTAAAACTGTATCAGTGTTTGTATTATTGTACAGGACTACACTAATTTATAGTAGTTCTTAGTGTTTTCATTTGTCCTTGTATGGGTTAGGAATGTATATTTTATTATCTTATGTTCAGACATGGTTATATATGTATATTTTATTATTTTATGTTTAAACATGACCGATTCTGTATCCAATATGTTGGTTTGACCTTATATGAATTGAGAGAATGCAATAAATAAAGTAAAGTAAAGTCAGCTGCTGGACTGACTATGCCCCTTGGGACCTTACACAGACAACAGAGGTTACAAACATGTCCAGACTGATCACCTAACTTGCATGAAGGGGAAATGAGAACATTCAACCTTCATGTTGAGCTATGAACAAACATGTGGAAGTTGTTCTGAACCTGTGCAGAATAACCCAAGATAGATATTTACTGGTGACACAGGAGTTAAAAAAATTAAATAAATGATTACTTTAATTAGTAAGTCAAACATTCAAATAAGACAAATTCTGTCATGTCACACATAACAGATGTGAAAATGAACTGGTGAAGGTGGCAGCAATGTGAGACAGTAAAACTATAAAAAAAGAGAATGTAGTTAGAATAAAGGTGATAAACAAACAGGAAGAGAGAAATATGAATCATACTAAATACCAAAAGAAAATGATGAAGTGAAAATTACATTTTCATTTTCCCTGGACCCTATTTCAAAGAGCCTGACACTACCACAGTGTAAATAAGAGCATTCTAAATACATTTCAGGCTCACAATGACAAAAACAACAGTGTAAACAATGGAGCAAGCCACGAATAAACACGGACAATACTAAGAATCTCCTTTCTCAAAATAGACAGGCGACACACGATCAGCCACCTCCAAGAAAGACAATAGAAGAATTGAAACGAACCTGCATGGTTTATAAATTTTAATCCTAAACAACAAAGTTTTTAAAAAACTTTAAAAATTTTAATACAAGGAAGGCTGCTGTGACTGAAAAGCTGAACATTGTGTACACTGTGTATTTCAGACATTATATGTGTATGTGTATGAAAAGGAACCAGGGATGCAATTGGGATGATGAGAATTATAGCAGAACGAACTTTGGAGATAGATGAAGAACTGTGTGCTTGCTTTATAGACTGGAAGAAGGCATTTGACCGTGTAAATTGGACCAAATTAATGCAGATCCTAAAGGAAACAGGTATAGATTGTCATGAAAGAAGATTGATTAGTAAATTGTACATGGATCAGAAAGTTAGAGTGCGACTGGACAGAGGGGAGACAAGAAGTATGATGATTGGAAGAGGAGTTTGACAAGGATGCTGTTTATCACCAATTTTCTTCAACTTGTACAGCGAATGCCTTACCAAAGAAGCTCTAGACAGGCTTGGAAACTTCAAATTAGGAGGGCAAATTATTCAAACTGTGAAATATGCAGATGACCTTGTGTTAATGGCTAAGGAAGAAACTGTGCTACAGGGTATGATTGATAGACTAATCGAAATTGGAAGGTGCTATGGCATGGAAATGAATGTGGAAAAAACAAAGGTAATGAAAATTTCGAAACAACCAACCCCAGTCACAATAAAGATAGACCAAAAACAACTGGAGAATGTGAAATATTTTAAATATTTGGGTTGCTTGCTAACAGAAGATGGAAGGTGTATGTGTGAAATTAAATCTAGGATTGCCCTGGCAAAAGCTGCATTTAGCAAGAAGAAGAATCTTTTTACCAGCAAATTGGACTTAAATTTGAGAAAGAAACTAGTGAAATGCTACATTTGGAGCATCGCTTTGTATGGGGCTGAAACTTGGACACTTAGGCCAGTAGATCAGAAACACCTGGAAAGCTTCAAAATGTGGTGCTGGTGAAGGATAGAGATCAGTTGGACTGATTATGTGAGAAATGAAGAAGTGTTATCTAGAGTCAGTGAGCAGAGGAATATCCTACATGAAATAAGAAAACGGAAGGCTAATTGGATTGGTCATATCTTGCGCGTAAACTGCCTTCTAAAGGAAGTTATTGAAGGAAAGATAGAGGGGCAGATAGAAGTAACCAGAAGACGAGGAAGAAGACATAAGAAGATGCTGAATGACCTTGGGGACAGAAGAGGATATTTTCATTTGAAGGAGAAAGCTCTTGATCGCATCAAGTGGAGGAACTGTTTTGGAAGAGACTGTGGACCTGTCGTCTTGACAGATTACAGATGAATGAATGAATGTGTATGTATATAATTTAACACCTATTGTAATAAAAGTTTCAGGAAAAAGTATTGATGCCCTCTGAGGATGATCCGTAAGGATCGAAACATGTAAGGGTGATGAGTTTTCAAGTTATAAAACTTAAATAGTCACACTGGACGGTGTTGTTTTTGTCTTTGTAATTGTTAGTATGACAGACAAGAATGAAACAAATCAAATTCATTTCAGGCTTGTTAATATTCAGTTAACTTCCTCGGTAATTAATAGGAATTAGTACAATTTTACTGGATATAATACACAGATCCACATGACTGACCAAGTAACAGAATGTTTACTGATGGTGATAAAGGCAACAGATACTCCTGTCATGGTTTCACTGGCCTTCCTGCATTCTGCCAGGTGAACAATATGAGGCAATCAATACCCATTTATGGTTTTTTTGCTTGTTTCTAATTTATTTAATAACACTATCAGTAAATCAGAAATCAGATTATACAGCACTGAATGGTAGAGTGATTAATGAATAATACGATGGAACGGATGTGGAAGAAATTTAATGGCCTAACTTAAGGTTCTGCCTCTGTGGTCTAGTGGTGAGAGTTCCTGGCTATAGATCCAGAGGTCCCGGGTTCATTCCCAGTGCTATCAGATTTTCTGAGAAGTAGTGGGTCTGAAACGAGGTCCACTCAGCCTTGTGAGGATATCTGAGGAGTTATTTCAAGGAAATAGTAGCTCTGGTCTAGAAAACGGAAATTAACGGCTATGGGGATTCGTTGCACAGACCACACAACACCCTCTATTCACTAAAGTTGGCACTAACTTTGCCAACAAGAGGCGGTCACTCAGTCAGCATAGTTCACTTGCGGAATAAAACCATGGGGTACATATCCCAGCATTTACCTGAAAATAGTGAACTAAAAAAACAACTACCAGCATAATCAGTGTCCTGGTCAAGATTTAAACTGAGCTGTTCCAAATACAATCACATATGTTACCACTTGCACCAACTTCACTGGTATGATCATCTCCTTCAATTTTTCTGATACTATGTGGTCTCTGTAACAGAAAAGAAATTGTTTCTAAAGTGAAAGTTCCAATGAGACAGGGTCAACTGCTGTCAGTACTAGTATAAAAACGGGAATGAATGTCCAAACCTTACACGAGTTGTGAACTTCAGTATGACCTTGTCATTCTGATCTGTACACAGAAATATCCACACCCAGATATGGTTGGAAATTGAACCCAGGATCCTCTAAAAACAAATCTGGTATTTTACTCTGAGACAGTGAAATCCCTTGTGGAAAGCTTATTTTCACCTTAAAAATGTGGGTAAAATTTGAACAATGTTGCATCAAAAAGTGGACTTAAAATTAATAAATGAATCTGCTTCCTTAAACTCTTTTAACTACTGCCTGGGTCAAGATTTCAAACAAGACTCATAAAATCTAAATTATTTTCTATCACTGAAATGCATTTACAATCAGCCTGGTATTGCGAAGACTACTAAATCAATTTATCTTTTGTTTTCACGATAATACCAATAAATATTCCATTCACTATTTCATGGCACTTAGTAAATTACTCTTGCACTGGAAACAATTTTTTATAATACCTATGCTTTACTAAGTGAAGTTGGGCTGCAGTAGCACTCTTCGACCTGTATTTTGGAGGTGCTAACGTCAAATCTCAGCTATCTTGAATGATGATTTTCCTTAATTCCTCCATGCAAATTCCAGGATAATGTCCCAGTTAGGTCATGACCACTTTCTTCAAACCGTTATTCACCAACTATCCCACAATTTGACGCTGTGCAGTACAGATATTGAGTGTCATTGTGTAAATGAACTGTGCCCATTCATTTGCCCGTCCATCGATCCATCTGTCCATGGCTGCACAGCTGTTTGTTGGGTCTTGGTCAATTTTTCAGTTTCTTGATCTTTCCACGGTCAGCAGAACTCCTTCGATGGAGGATCAGACTGTCACAAACCCACTACCTGCACACAGGACAGCACAAACACAGAATAAACACACACAGACATTATCTCAAGTGGGATTCAAACTCATGATCCCAGTGTTTGAGGGCATGAAGACAGTTCATGCCTTAAATCGCGTGGTCACTATGATCAGCAATCCATCGAACTGGAGAAACTTGTACTTCAGTGCTGTCATCCTGAAGAGGCTGCTTTCTGGGTCCAGAGGCTGTAGACCTACAGAAGTGAATTCTGCTGTGGAACACAAACTTCCAGTGAACTTGAATAACCACATTCTGTAACTCATCCAATGACAGACAAAATTTTGCGAACATTCTTTTTCCTTTTGCACAATGTATTCCTCTCCTGAAAAGTTTGGTGTGCTTCTTACCATTTGAACAGCTTCGCTTCATTAGATATACATGAGAGTAATGGACTATCTGAAGAATGGGGCTGCGAAATGCCACTAGATTATGATGGTGATCAATTTCCCATAAAATGTTCTTGTAAGGACCAATACATCCTGGCTATGTGTAACCAGCAATGATAATTCTGAACTGCACGAATTCCTGGTATTAGATGGTGATACATTGCCTTCCTCAGAAGACAATTCTGGATCATGAAATCTTAAAGGCAGTTATACAGGACTTTTTACAAGAACATAAAATTATCACTTTTTGATGTACCAGATCTTGCAGAAGCTGAATGATGAGTTTAGAACCATACACACGCATATCATGATTTGATTTCTTCCCTGAATAGTTACCTGATACCAAAAATAAAATATCCACAAAATATGTCTGTTTCACAAAGATGAATTTTTGTAACCATGAAATATAGGAAGACAAAATAACAAATAAATAAATTAGATATAGTGAGTTTGATTTGTAGCATATAAGTGTACGTACTTTATGTCTAAACAACTTATGTGATGGTGGTTTCCTATTTGTAGTGATGTTTGCCCTCTGAAGATGGTCCACAGAGACCGAAACATGTAAGGGTGTTGAGTTTTCATGTAATAAAAAACTTACAGGTCACATTGGACGGAGTGATTTATATTTGTAGATACAGTGAATTTCCATTGTGCACCTCTTATAATGCATGCTACAGATTTAAAGATGATTTTCCTCTGTGTAAGTTTTGAGGTTTTTACGGCGATGACTATGAAGAAAGTCGTCTTCTGGGTTTTGGCGCCGTGTATTCTTCGTTTTGGCCAACATTTCGGAGGAATGTATCACCTCCATCTTCAGAGCAGCTGAATGGCTTGTGAATGTAGAAAGCTACTGCCAACGTCAGCCAAAACGAAGAATACACGGCGCCAAAACCCAGAAGATTACTTTCTTCATGATTTTCCTCGTTCAGAAACTACTGTAACAGGGACCACTTACAAAAATACTTTCGTATGTTGAAAGTTTTTTCGCAGCTGGAAGAGGAAAAGGTCAACATTTTCTAGCAAGGTGGCACATCATCCCTTTTCAGCAACTTCATTGGATGCTATAAATGGATGGGGACTGGATACTTGGATTGAATATCCCTAGATTCTCTTGCTGTGGGGTACATAAAAAGCGCAGTTTGTGGAGCCATTGAACAATTAGTGTGTTGAAATATGGTTGGTTTCTAATGGTGCACTTTGACAATGAAGTTATCTGTACTTCTTTTAAACTCAACAGGCAGGCATATTTTGTTAACTCGTTTTCTACTTGGACAAGTTACATTATCAAGGTATGCTGAAATATTAAAAAGCACGATTGTCACTCATGAAACCAAAATGCCAGAAATGCTTCAATGTGCACGTCATCTCAATATCTGGTGCATTATGATATGCATATACTAAAGTTTACTATGAAAATTCTAAGTTCATGTCAGCAAAGGATACAGTATTCTGAGTTTTAATATTGTGTAGTATCTCCAAATTACATGCTGTTCCAATCTAGACCACTCTCCTCATAGTCACCACTGTGAGAACCTCAAATCCAACACATTTTAGTCTATCATTTTCATTTAATTATGAACTATGCTCATGAAAATACCAACATCCTGAAACGCTGAATATATTCTATGGCCATTCTGCATAATTACAACTAAAAGTGTTCAGATACTGTGAACTAAAGATATGTGTGACTTCACCTACCTCAAAATACTGGAAGAATCACTCACAAATCTTATGGATAATATTTCCCATTTTTGGTCTTCCTGTATGTGATACACCAATCATTGCTGCCATTTTCAACAGCATGATGGTATGTATTATCACAGGGGCTGAGCATGGGGGGATCATGTTTCATCATGTTGCCTGGCCTGTGCACGCCTCTTGTAATGTCTGGATTATTCAAGAAGCTGCTCATCTGATGCTGAAGGATGTCAGTTCATCAGGAAGTCTCTGGATTAAGGTATATCTACTTCAAGGGAGCAGTCAGACCATTCTGTTTCTAAATATACACACTTTAATAAACAAAACAAACAGTACACAATGTGTTAATAGTAACAGCTTACAAGACAGCAGTACATGTGCAGTTCTAAACTTGTCTTTTAATGCCTGGTATTTTTTTATTTCTTTTACTTCAGTATTATTGCCCTTTACTTTTAATGCTATCATAATAGCAGTAATAAAACATCTTTGATTCTTCTTCTCTTTTACTTTCCCAAATAAATATTCTACAAACATCCCTCCCTACTCATTTCAGCTTGGAGGCTTCCTGAAGTGTGTACAATTTCGTTTCCTTACCCATTAAATCTTTCTTTTTTTAATAAATTATGTGCTGAACTGATTTTTGATGCCTACTAAATCAATCACACTACTCTGAATTTTACGATCACACACCAGAGTATTAGATATTGTGTAACAAATTTTACAAACCTCATTTACATTCATAATATTAGAGCACAATTTTTTAGTTCCTTGAATTTAAGTTTACTTGCCCTATCATAAAATATTTAGTATTGGATGGTGTTCCTCTAGCAGCTATTTATGCAGCAGGTGACTGGTGTACTGAAAATAAAATTATCTAAACATCTTTGCCGGTATAAATTTGTCCTCCACAAAGCTGAAATGTGTAAATGATGTTTCACTCTAATAGCAAGCAAAAAGCACTAACAACACAGAATTTTATTTATAGTAATATTTGTTTTGGTTCATTCTTTTTGATTTGCCATGTGATGACAATAATAAAAGCATCACCCTGAATAATAACATTTATTTACAAAGATTCCCCATCCTTCTTCCCTCCCAATAATGTTTTTGTTAAATTTCACCATCCCTGATTGATGGAGACATGAGCATAAAAACACATGACTAGCTCTTCTCATGTTAGATCTAATACAAAATCATGTAACAAATTTCCAACCAGAAACAAAAGCAATAAAAGAATCACTGCTTTGCTCTAAATTGCAATGTACCGCATTTGTTCCAGTGAACTCTGTATTACACAGAGGTGTATCTGTTCCAATACACAAAAATTTGGCACCTTCAGAATGCTAGTCCTCTACCCTCCCCATTCAAAAAATGTTAAAAACACATAAAAAACAATACTGATTTGAACAACCACGCTCTCATATACGTAGTTTCATTCTTACACAACTACTTATTATGTTTCAATTATTTACTTATTTAAATATGTTAGTTATGACCCTGTTCATTAAAGGCTAGAAAAATCTTCTCTTCACTCACACGCACTGTGGTAGCCTTGGTTTGGGTTTCAAATAGGGTTTCTAATTTTTATGATCAGACAATTGGATATTTCAGGAGGGTTTTTAAGATCTATTAACATTGAGTATTCTTGCATCTTAATTTCATGCTTCAATGCAATCTCCTTCCATGCCAGGTATGTATGTCAAAATCTATGTTCCTGTTTCAAACTAAATAGTTTATACTAGTCCCATAGCCTTTAATGGAAGAGGGAGTGCTTTTAACACTTCTGAAGTATATAACTGTGACACAGCAGGAATAACAGTACATCTACAACAATTCTGCTCAGCTGTACACCCTGTATCCTTCTCCCCATGTCTCAGCAAATATTAAACTGCAAAAATTAAATAAAAAAACAGAGATCAAATAGTTTTTCAATCTATAACTCTATTAATTCCTTCATGAACACCTCTCGTCAATTTCAATAAATACTATCATTAGTTCATACATGAATGGACACCCTCAAGGTAACAGCTGAAAGGAGACTCATTCTCACACCTCTAACTGAAATTCTCCAAATCAAGTCTTGTGCAACAGGAAGTAACTGAGACAGTACAGCCAACATTTGCATGAACCTGACACAGAAGAAAGACTGCAGAGGTCAGCAGTAGGACAGGTACAATCAAGTTTCCTGAGCTTCACATTTTAACATTACAGCCTGATGATCCAGGTTCCACCACACACATCAGGTGTTGTGGTTCAAGGATTTGGCACAAGCTTTCCAAGTTACAAACATTTGGCACATTAATTTGACTTGCAAACCTCAAGGTTATGCCCATCACCTGTGTGCTATAGGTACAAGCTGTCTCATCAGATGAACAAAATATATGCCAAATGATCTCCTGAAGGACTCGTGTCACAAGGGATTCTAACCAAGTATCTAAGAAATTAAACAGAAAGAAACACGTTCTAGTGGCAAAACTTGGTATAGCTTCATTCTACAGACCACTGTCCAGTGTTAATGCAGGGATACCAATAAATGCTAAATATGTCCCTTGTATATGAATGGCTGGATTTGAAATTAAGAATGGTAACATAAAATCTTTAAACATCTTGAAAATGAGATATGTACTTAAAAACTGTTCCTCACAGCCACCTTGGACATACAAAACAAGTGTACTGAAACTGGTGTTAACTTCATCTTATAAGATGGTTACATAATAAAAAATAAATATATCAATATTTTAAAATGATTCCACTGTCAACACATAGATTATGAATCATGCAATCAGCAACAAGTCACTTTTTACAGCCAAAGCAGGTCTACATGGAGCTAACCAAGATTAGCTTCACTAGAAACTAACAATTTGAATTATGTATCATTTACAAGTTGAACACTGCATCAGTACAGAAACAGATTATGTACAATTCATACAAAAATGATGCTGGATGTTAGGCAGTGTTTCATTCATAATTCATAACATGACTGGTCTCTTTCCTTGTTCCTTAGCTCTTATTTAAGCAAAACCGAGCGTCTGCCTTGAAAATGAAGGCTGGTATCCTGTACTAATGTACAAACTTGTAAACAAGATTTCAGTAACTATGTAGCCTTCTGTTTCATTAGCAGCATTGAACGAATGTAAAGATTTCATAACGAACTAACAAAGCTTCCCTTCAGAGAACAGTTTAAAATACAAACAGCTTTTTATATTATTAATACAGAATCAACATTGTTAGATATTTTAAGGATTATTTTCTTTGGAAGAAAGGTATATTATTAGTATTATATTACTTGATTGCCTTGCGTACAAATGTCCAAATTGGTTCACATTCAATGGAAAAGAATATAAATAACTAAAAGCTTTCCCCTTTTTTCCATAAAAAACGTCAGCATAGAATTAATGTTAAGGCCCCTGTGCTCCATGACATATATCACTTCTGGTTCATCCAACTCTTATTGAAATCAAAATACATATAATAGTTTCTGATTATTGCTCTGAGCTCAACTGCTAACTACTCCCTGCACTGAAAATTAAACTGAAACAAGGATATGTCACACAAAAGGTATCCTGGCCTCACACAGAGTGTTTCCAAGTCCAACAGCATCCTGTGACCAAGCTGGAAACATTCTGCAAATCACAATGACACCAGGTGCTGTCCAGAAAGGTCATGGGTAAGGGCACAAACATTTCATCTTCACACCAGTTTACTGGCTAGTACACAATAGGGGGGTAGAGGGATGGGAATCTACCGGTTTTCTTTGCCTTATACAAATGGTTGACGTTCATGTCATGGGAACAAGGTTCTGAGAGACTTCACCACCGACTTTTTATCTTAAAAAAGTTGGGAGTTGATAATATTTTGTTACCTATCCGAAACCACAGCCATAAACAGTGGTGGAATCACTAATGATATATATAATGAAGTACATTACTAACATAAATATATGTTTGGAGGAGAAAAATGCTCCCTTGCCCTCTTGTGCCATCATTGCACCTGAAGGACTTTTTAAACAGACAGAAAATTAAACCATTTCCAACTGTACTGTACCGTACCCAACTCAATTGAAATGTGTAAGACAGTCAGCTTTTTCTCCTGCCACTAATATTTCATGCATCATGTTGGAAACTAGTTAAGTTACCTAATATATCGTAAGATTTGGAAACCTCCTTAATCTACCTAGAATCTGGAAAAATTCTATGTAAAAAAAGACATCTTAAACAGGTACCCATAATGAACTTCTAATAATTCTGTATAACGATATCATGTTTTGAAGGTGTAGTGATTTGGTTCAGAAAAAAGTTTTCCTTTTTGTGTGGTGTCTTCTGGGTAAAAAACAAAGTTAAAAATTGAATGAGGTCACATAAAAACTGCTTGCAAAGCAGTGCACCTCTATAGAAGTATTAGGCTCTTTCGTAATGGGTATCCATTTAAGGGAGCGACAAAAGTGCATAGTGTTAAAACTAACTGTTAACATGGCAAATGATGAAAAGGTGCAAGAGAGAAAGAGAGAGAGACACTGGGCTATGCTACGTTGGTGCTTCGCATTATTGGGACAAATTTCATCAGTACACATTATGTAATAATACCATTATTAGCTTAGATAAATCATTTGCTCTTTGCACAAAAATATCTTTTCAGTCAAGATATTTCTTTTTATATAGTACAAAACACTGGTACATAACAATTATATTATTCTGAATAAAAAACTGCAGATATCTCCTAAACAAAACAAAAATAATCTACACTCCTAAAAGTTTAACCAATATACCAACACTCATTCATAATAAAGGAAGTATGACAACACATTAACCAACACAGAAAACAATATTCAGATTGTCCATGTTGTTATCAAGTTTATCTATCTAACTCTCAATAAATCCTGAGCACAACACATTAATTTGTCAGTGCAATGTGCTCCTCAGTATGTACATGCCAGCAAGTGGATACAATTGTATCCAGTTCCTTCCTAACTCATCACGTTAAATTTAAAGCTTATCATTTTAATGTATGATATGAAGCTACCTCATGTGAATTTTTTCTTAAAAGATATGTCTTTATCTTTGCTATGTGAGCACAAGAAAGTTTGTTTCTTCTCTGGAAATTACTTTTCAAAATGCACAAAAAAAATGTATATTTCGACATAATTCCATTCCTGCAACATCACATGTGATATGGCCTACACACATGAAGATCTACTCTTCAGTGTCACATGTGAAATGTCTTGCATGCTATTCCAATACTGAATGGGATACCTACTACATGTTTCATTATCACACAGGATATACCCTACATACTATCCTCTAACTCTTTTATCATCCCTCTGAGAAAAAAAAAATTAATCTGTGTAGCAAAACTGCTTCCATCAGTGGGAACACAACATGAATAAGGTACCCATACTCTGTTATCATCCGCACTCTAAGAGAAACTGCCCCAATACAATAATAATATTATTAAGCTATTTCTAATCACAGCAACATATCTGCCATTGGCTAGTGCTGTTATTAGTGACTTAGTCCTTGCTAAAACAACAATGATACATTTGTTAGACAAAGAATCTGCACACAAAATAAAGTACTTCCTAAACTACACTTTTTGTTCTTAAATGGAAATTCCTCTAAAATGTGATCCTTTCTTTTTCTTAGAAATTCATGCTCTCTTTCTTAAAGATGAGCATTAAATAGGTTACTTTCTTATTAAAAACTGGATTATAGTAAATAAGATTTGGCACATATTAATATTAAAAGGGTATAATATTACATGGAAGATATGATCAAGCACTGGAAGAAGAGGGATATGTACTACAGGTCACCTGAAGTCAAGCTTCCAGGAAACATTATGTGGGAGGAATATATTCAGAAAATTGATGTATGTCTGTTCCAGACTAAAAAAGGGTGAGTCCATCAAGGGGCTAAATCATTTACATAAGTGTATTGTCCCACATATGTTGTCTACCCGTTCTAATTCAGTGCAATGCAATTTCTTAATATCATTATGATGGCCTTGACAATTACAATCAAGATCTGATATGGTAAGAAACGTGTGATGTTTCAGAAATTGGCACAACTGGCACTGCCACTGTCAGAGTATTTCCACTTCCAGATCTACATTATTTTGTTGCACATACTTGAGTATTTCCAATTATGTAGCTCCTCCTCTGCCATGTGAGCAAACTTCAGCCAGGTCATATCCTGGATTGATATGGTCAATTTGACATTCCGTTCTAAGGTTTGGCTTTATTACTTTTCTTAGGAAGACACTAACTGAGATGTAACAATTAGAGTAAGTGTTAGGTATGGCAACTAGGACTGTGGCTACCAGTGCTAACATTTCATGGATAAATCTAAACAAGATAAGAAAAACAATGTCCTAGTATTAAAAAACCTAGTTTGTTCTAAGAAGAATTCACATCAAACTACTTGCTAGTGCGAGAAATACTTCACTCCTAAATTGATCACTAGTCTAGGTGTTATGTAATTGGTTATTAAAAGTGAAACATTCGAGGAGAAAAAGAAATTGTTATAGATGGGGATGTTATACTGTAATATACGGTGGTAGTAGTAGCAACGGTGGTGGTGGTGTTAATTACAATAAATAATATATAACATTTCTAGTATATAATAATAATAATAATAATAATAAACAAAAAAATCACAAATCTTTGGCTTGATCCCTTTACCGCCATCGAACTTACTCATTACACGGTGTGGCAAATATTGTTTTCAAACCAGAAAACACTACTAGCCATCCCTCTCATTTTCACCACCATAAACATACAGAAACAAACAACAAACATACAAACATTGCTTTCAACTTAGAAAACAATACTTGCAATACTTGCTTTCACATCACACCAACACACTCGTGCAGAAATAGTTGGCAAGTATTATTTTCAACTTGGAAAATATTACTTGCAATTTTGTCCCTTTAATGCATGCTTTAACCCTCCTACTCACATAAAAAGTTTGCAAACAATTTTGTTCACAATGACCAAGTGAAAATTACCATCACTTACTTTCTCCAACACATACTTCCCTCACTTTTTTTTTCTGCTTTTTGTCACAGTAAATCCTACACAAGTATTTCTTTCTTTCCTCAGGAGATGGAAAAGAAACACTTGAGCAGAGCTCCCTAATATTATTACAATACATTGTACATTAGTGTATTGGAGCCTTGACAATATGATTGGGTGTGATATAGTGGTACCCAGGCATTGGCATCCCAGCTGTCTCCATCGATATCCTGCAACAAAGATAAATGGAGCATCACACACACTGTCCCACCAAGAGGAGGTACCAGAATGCAATGCCAACAGATATGCATACATTAAAAATTCATTATATCACTGTTTCTCAAACTGTGTCTCATGACTGCTCTGAGAGTTGTGACCTACACTAAGTGGGGTCACTGAGTGTTCTAAAGAACAATTTAAAATGCAGTTGTATGCATGCACACTTTTGACAAGTCAATAAGATTTTAAAACACGTTTTTGGAAAATACAGCTCACTGTATGGGATGTAATGCTATTTAAGTTATTGTCACCATCCTGCCTGATGGGAGCCTCCAGCAAAGTGCAGAATTGCACTTTTGACTGGCAGGATTAAGAAAGCCAAGTTGCACAAATATATATTGCGGGAGAGGGAGCAAAACCACACAGTTTCAGAACTATACCATACTATAAGTTAGGCACTGTTTACTTATACTGCAGATAATTAAACATTTCAAAACTGTAATTTGATTTCATGCTTAGTAAGCCACTTTCACAAAATAAATTAAAAGTGGTGCCTAAAATTAAGAACAGGTTCTTTTCTTTTCTGATTAAGAAAATATGGCTAACATTCCAGAATATAGTACTCTTCAGTCACCAGAATAAGAACCTCAAATCTCACAAGAAAGAATAAGTTCATAGGCAAGATAAAACCAAATACTTCCCACTAAAATATGAAGATAAATCATATATTCATTTCATTTCTATTGCACATGATACACTGTCACATCTCACCATTTCAATAAAATCATTGTACCATGCCAACAGAAACAAAACTACAATTTCCCAGTTTCTCAAATAATGCACAATATAAAGATAAATCTTACATTTCTTTAACATGAAATAGTTGGTTACCTAACAATATCGGTCTGCAATTTTAGTATGCTGACTAAAGATATAGCTGAGTGTTACACTCATTTACAAGTTTGACAGATTAAATAACAGTGCTCTCCACTACCATACCAAAGTTCTCACTAAAACATCATTTTTCAAACTTACAAAGGGCAAACACTTAGAAAGCATACCCACTTGACTGGATGAATGTTCCCGCCCAACAGTAGTCTCTAACGCCTCTGATAGATGGGGGAAGCATTATAGATACCGCCAAGCCAGTATAGGCTGAACTCGCTGGCTCGGTCGGGACTGATGGTACGCGCCAATACCGGTAGGGTATAGAGACTGGCAGAATATCATAGAGGGAAGCACAATGGACCAATACTGGTCTAAGTGCATGGGGAACCCACCCTCTCCAATAACTAACTAAGATATCAGCATGAATTTGTAGTTACGGCTGGTTGAAAGACGGCCACAGAACACTCCAAAGAAAAGGACAACATTCATCAAGTCACAGCAGTGCCCATTCTTCTTCAAGGGAAAAATATACTTATGACATTGCCATATGTGCACTATCAACTTTCAGCCAAATCACTAATTTTCACCAAATATCCTAACATGGCAGATGATGATGTGTGGCAGGACCACCACCAAGCATCATTTCTATGGCTCTGTCTGATGGCAGTAACTTCTGAATCACTGGAGCTAGGCATGTGAAATGTGGTATGAGAATATATCATAAGCATACCTACACATTCTACATGAAGAATGCAATTATAAAAATAGCAATGACATGAAACTTTGAGGTTTATGTCCAACAAATTTAATGCACAAAATACATGCTTATAAGTTCTTTCCAAAAAGATGACTTTTTATTTTCTCATATTCATAGTATACATTGTGATCATGAATAAACTTATCTTGGAATTTTGAGATATTTATTTTTCAGCCCTTTGATTATGAATGTTATTTTTAGTAGGCCATCTAATTAATTTTTTTTTTAATTCACATAGTGGGGGTGGAGTCCAGCTGGATCCACTCGGCACTGCGGCCACTGATTGGCCTATTGTACCTGCCCCGGGTGATTATGCCGGAGAATTTGGTGGAATGAATATTGGCAAGGGAAACTGAAGTACTCTGAGAAAACCTGCCCCAGTATCACCACAAATCCCACTTGACCAGACCCGGGCTCAAACCAGGGCCGCCGTGGTGGGAACAGTATGCCAACTATCTGCATGTATGCATATGGACCCCACTAGTACGTGAGAGACTGAAGGGATTTTATTCATATTAGGAATTCTACAGTTCACCTAGTTTAGGTCCAGCTCCAAAAATAGGGGGCCTTTGGATGGGCCTCAAGACATTAGATGGCAATTTTCTCAAAAACGGCTAAAATTATTCTAATTAAATTTCATACGTTAAGAAGATCATATCCCTAAATAAAACAGAAATACCTTCAAGAACGTAACAGTATGCGCACTAGGGGCCCAAACACAAAATATCAATTTTCTCAAAACCAATTTTACCAGTCAAAGGGGTCTCATTGCTGTTCAGTATACAGCAACCAACCAAAAATATTCTACCCTGCAACAATTGTTTCATTTTCAAAGTAATACAATGAGGATCAATCATATATATGTGAAAGTATGTTCAATGTCTATGTGCTGATTCTTTTTTAATTTTTTGGTTTATTTTATGACCCTTGTCAGTATCTACAGTTTACATGGCACTGAATGGTAATGACTGGTGAATAATGAAATGGAAAGGGTTTGAAAGAGTGGTCTAGTCCAAAATTTGATTGGACAAGAAAATCACCAAAAAACCTCAGTCAGCAGAGCTGGTGCTCTGCTTAGGATTCCAACAGAATATCTTTCACATACAAGTCTAAAGTATTACCACTACACCATCCTGCTTGGTATGATGGTCATATTTACTGCTGCAAATAAATTCAGACTCGACTAGGATTTGACTACAAGTATATAGCCAACTATACATAACACCAGCAAACTGACCCACAGATGCATGTCGTTAAATTATAAATTTACAGTATTTAAATACGTGACCAGAACATTTGTAAGACTGGAAGTCTACAAAGTAAAGAAGGCTATTATGAGTTCTACTCAGAAGTGCTTGTTGAAATTATGAAGCTTTCATATTCTTGTGTCAAGTCAGTTAGCATGAACATGATCTACAATCTCAGCACCTTCTGCCTTCCCATTTATGCATTTTCTATGTTCATCCATTTCCGTAAGAAAATAAATTAATCTGCCAAACAAGATATGAAGAAAACAAATATTAAGTAAAAAGTAAAAAGTAAAAAAAAAAGTGACTCGCAAATAAGCTTCAAAATAATACGAACTACCCAATTTATACCTGCCCCCCCCCACCCCCAAAACAATAAAATTAATGCTAAACTAACCTCACAGGAGATAGTTAAAATGTCAAATTCTTCTGCTATGGACATACACATTTTAATACAGCCTTCAATATATATGTATGATTGGTACACTTTCTGCTTTGCTATTACGTGCAATTTCATCTGTAACACTGAAGTTCAATAAAAATATATTATGACAACTCTTTAATTAAAATTTTCAGTTTTGAAATATTAAGTTCATCTGTCAAAGTACAATAACACCCCCAGTTAAGGTTCTGTTTGGGAAGCAGTGGATCTGAACAAACAAAAATCTGAAAAATGGTAAACAGTACAAAAATAAGCTGTGTTTGGGCACATTATACACATGTATGGCCTTGGAAAAATATTATTCCTTGCTTATTCCAGGGCACATATTAAAGTTGAAAACTCCTCTGCCCATTTTTAATCAATACTGCTACTATGACAGTATATTTTCACCATAAATCCCATGGTTATAAACACTGTCTCAAAATTAATAACATTTTTTAACTTAGTATACATTTCTAACCTAGAAAAAAACCTAGTACAAAACAAAATCCTGTATTAAAACAAATACATACCATTAATTATGTTTTGTATCACTATTTCAAGTACATACACAATGTATCTAATGCAGTCAGTCTGCTATTAACCTGAGTTTATTGTAAAACAATGTGATTACAGACCAGACCTGACCTGCTCTGCAAAACAGAAGTTACAAACTAATCAACTTATTCCATGGAGAAAAGTACTTCTTGAGAAAGAGAAAATCAGTCATGTATTTTCTGCCTTGCATGATGCCCTAATGTTCATTACTGTGTTCATTATGTTCATCAGCCAATTTAATCTAGTCTGTATCCCCATTTACAAACAATTTTAACAGTATCCTCCTATCTACATCTACATCTTCAAAGCATTTTCTTCCTTTCAGGTTTTCCAACCAAAACTTCATATAATTTCTCATCACTGTTATGTATGCTAAATGTTCTACCCATACCATCCCTCCTGATCATCCTAACATTTGGCCAACGTACCCCACTACAGACTCAAGCAGCACTACCAGCAGCTCAGATATGGCGTTTACCCATAACAGAATTACCTAGGTTATGTACGTTACACATACTTCATAGAAAATTTCTTAAGTGTATGTGATGTGATCATGTCCATCAACAAACATCAATTTGTCTGGAAAATGGGTAACAATGATTTTAGATTATGTTCCTCCTAAAACTGGTACCCATAAGACTTCAGTACCATAGCCCTGGAGCCCATAATATGAAAAGCTGTTATTACTTAACACTGTTAATGTTTTCATCAAATATGATTTGGTTCACCCTGGTCCGTCACACTAGCAATATAATAAAAGGTTACAAACTCAGTCCAATGTGACTGATAAATGTATTTTTAATAGTAGTTTCTGCCTGTATTGATACATCCTTCTGAAGATGGTCTCTCAGACCAAAACATATAGAGGATGAAAGATTGGAAAAAAATTAAAAAATATTTATCAGTCACACTGGCTGGAGTTGATAAGCTTTTATAATCTGCATCGAAGTTACCGTATTTATGCATGTATAGGCCGCGTGTGTGTATAGGCCATAGCACAATTTTCAGACAGAAATCATTGAAAAAATAATTTTCTTGGAATATTATTTCAGGAGTAGAAATTATTCCGAAATTTGGCAACGTTTAACATTCCTAAGTTCGCAACTAGCGAAAATAACGGTACCGCTCGGAACAAAGGCA